AGTCTAAACTTGGTCTCAAAATTATCCCTATAAATATTACTTTGAAAAAATAATTCAAAGTAATTTCAAAATCTTCATCTATAGTAATGGAAAAAAACTTTATTTAGCGGCAAAAAAATTTTTATCTGGACTAAAACAGTTATTCGCAAAGAACTTAATAACGCAAACACTTAGCAAAACGTAAATCCGTACACTTCATCCCAGTGAAACTGTCGACCGGCGGTAGAGAACACGGATCAATATCTGCCATACTTAGCGAGAAACCCGCTATGGGCCCGTGACCCGCAGTGGGCTCGCTGCCCCATGTTACCCTACAATGGGTTCAAGTCAGGTTCTTCATAACCGACGCATTACTAAACTATACTAGTACATTTTGATTGCAATGCATCAACTTGAAAATCTGAGCGGGCTTCAAGCGTTTTCCTTACCCAACGAGTGTCTTGCTGCAGACCAAGAATCGCGGACAATGTGAATGAGAACAAAGGCTTGCTTAAGACGTTTCTAGAAGAATGCAATGAGCGTGAGATGAAAAAATAAGTTTCATTTCTACGCTCAAATACCGAAATATATCAGTGCAAGTCTGCAAGAGCTTCGAACGCATGGTTTAAGGCTTAAGCGATCACTCCTCTAGCGGTGATACCGAAGCTACGAAGGACAATGCGAAGAGCCAAGATGAGAACGCTGCGCGACAACAATAAGCATGTCCATCCCATGCTTCACGCTAGGGATGGAGGGTTGCTGTTGCAGCTGACGATAAGCTTGGCAGAACCCCGGATCATGTTGCGGTTCAACAATGTACCGTAACCCTCTAATCGAAATGTACCTATTAATATCATTTTAAAACTTAATAACGACAAATAAATTTGTTCCTATCCTGAACGAAATACATTATGTTTCCTGATACGTCGAGGTGGGGTAATCGAATACAGTAGCATAACACCAGTGACTCGGATGCCATAAACGGTTTATCAAAAACCCAAAAATTCCTCCTCTACCAGCCTGAAATCATCCCTCAGTTATACCACTTCCATATCATAAAAATTATTCAAAAACGTTTATCGCAATCCCAAAGTTAACTGGGACCAGAATACCTTACCTTATGGGAAGGTATGATAATAGGCGATCATCGGTTAAATTTAACTAAGGAGTTCGTACCTGAATGCTTTATGAAGTATGTACAATCAGTTCAATTATATAAATTCAATTATATAAATAGATGAATTGGCGTTGATGGTCTATATCAGTATTGATAACGATTCACTTGTTTTTCATACAAATGCTTTCAACGACTGTGAACTTTTACACAATTCTATTAAACATTCCTGTTTAGTAGAATCTATTCACTGAGCTGTTCAACTATAAAACTCAATAAAGTCTACAGTTTGAAATTAACTGTAATAAGTTGATACAATACAAATGTTGGCCTCAAGGTACGAATTATATTTTTTCAGTTCACGTTCAAGTATATTCGCTAACTTAATATTAAATATATAGCACGAACAAAATCGCGCAGATTATCATGGTATTTTCATGTTCCTGTCATTTGAATAATGACCAAACTGTCACTTCACTTTTGTTTCCATCAAATAGCTTATTTTGTGGAAAGGCTGAACCTGAGGTTTGGAACCACTTCCTTCGTTTTCACCATGCAGTGTTAGAAACGTATGTTACGGCGTTGTATTTTGTGCAAAAAAATAATATATAACGCCAATAACATTATGGTGTAAATTTAATTAGTAATAAAACTTCTGGCCTCACTTTGTCAGCATACCATTAGATATTTTACAGGTTTCGTTATTGATGCGCACATCAATTTACATATCAACTTAAGTGGGCGATTCCAGAACCTTCTCATTATGAAGGCGTTGAAAAATGTCTATTGCTCGATGCATTCGGGTAAACTGGTAAAGTTTCGCTTGAAACTTCAAACATGTATGATATATTCTCAGATTTCAGGGTTCTCTGACATGGTATACACATGTTGAGACACGAGCAGCAAGATATTGTGTTCAACTGACATAAGGAGCCAGTAAGGTGAACGCGTGACGCGACTAGCAGCTGAACGTCTCTACGAAATGAAGACTACGGCAGAGGGCGTTTGACCAGAGGCATCTCAACTAATTCTGAATACCAAGAATTACAGCTCCGTTTACATTCATTTGTTATTCGTTAAGCCCGCAACTGAGTGCTAACTTTCGATGATTTGTTAAGCATTTTTCAGCGTTTCTTTTGGATGTCTGGGATCCTTTACAGTTGAATAAGTTGCGTAATAAGACCTAAGTGCAATATATTAGCATTCCAAAGTAGGGTCAAGTCATTAAAAGTGGTCACAATTATTTATGAAGATAAGCGCCCATTCATATGTTCAATTTTTTTTTTTTGTTCAAAAAATTCAATGAAATTATAAAATTGATAATCCGTTATTAAAAGGTTTAAAAGAAAAAAAAAATATTGGTAAACTTTAACCACTGTGAAGAGATTAGCCGAGAAGTCAGCTCTTTGCGTGTCAGCGCTTTCTATTGTCAGTCCAGCTAGCGTCGGTGTCACGAGTGGAAATGTGTTTCACATTATAGTCCCGTTATTTCTGAAACCGGCAGATAACCTGATGACGTAAGCTGAAGGTGTCTCGAGTAATAGCATATTCGTTCGAAAACGAGAAACAATCAACAAGGACAACGTTTTGAGGTCTTCTATTAAATACTGTTCAAGCTCAACACAATATAGTCAAGAATAGAATAGAATTGTTGGCACTGAAGAAGTGAATAAATAGGCCGATTTGAGTGAAGAATGTTGCCGATTCTTGGTACTTTTCGTGACTTGATTTCACAAGGGATCCGGCCTTATGAACCCGATCTTTCCATAACTGACGATTGATTGAGATAGCTGCTGGACTTATTGCCTGGTCCGTAATTTGCTAAGCATTTCAAGACTGAACATATGCTCCTGCATGGCTTCGTCCAGTCTGTTTTTGAAAATGTTCATACTCGGAGCGTCAACGATGCTATCAGGGAGGCTGTTCCACATGTCGCTGACTCGAAGCGAGAAGAAATGTTGTCGCATCGATGTGTTACAACAACGCAGTTTTTTTAGGTAAAAGTGACTGAATAATATAACCTAATAACATTCATAAACTTAATATCATGAAGATTCCGATAAAGAATTGCAAAAAAATCTGTAATTTCTATCGCGTACCAAATTTTAAAGAATGTAACCTGTAACCAGTAACCATCACCGATGTATTTTTAATCGCTCAGAATACTTCAGATGATGTTTCTCTGATGTGGAACCTAGAATTATCGGCATTCTTGACGTGTCAGGCTTATAATTTCCAGGCAACGTGCGTGAAATACAACACAGCTTACCAAGTTACGTAAATCAATCGAGTGAATTTGGGCATCTTTTCGACAATAAAATTTCAGGGTTATTTGTGATGAATTCTATGCCGACTTTTCCCTATTTTTCTATCTTAACCAATTTTTATGCTGCCAAATTTTGTTAAAATAATACCAGCAGAATATGTGAACAATGATTATGATTTTAGGTTGGGATCGCGCAATAATAATATATAATAATGCCGTTGGAAAGATTCAACCAAAATCATGTTGGAATTCACAGGTTTTAAATAAAGTGTAAAATTTTGCTGAACTATGCAGTAAGTGGAAATCTTCAACTACGAGCCATGTTGATAACGTAAAAATACTATGAACCTTGCTAACATTGACTAGAGTTGTAATTAAGATCCCATTTCTACGTAAATTTAAAGTAAAATGAGAACAATATTTTGATATAATAGTCTAGCTATGAGTCCATTCCTTTTCTATACGCTTTAGTCATGATACGTCACAGAGTATATTAAGCACCGTTTCTACATGCAGAAGGGAGTAATTTATTTGAATAAAGCTTGGATCAACCAAGTCTTCTTCATATTACGAAAATTAGTACAACCTCTGTTGCGCGGTACTAGCTTGTTTAGCAGTAGTATGATCAACACAGTATCAGCAACGAACGGAGTTAAATTATCCCAACATCACGAATTGTTGAGAATATCTACTCAGGGGCAAAAAACCAACAACATTAATAAACGGGAGTAACATTTATATTATTTTGTCTTCGTCTCTGATGTATTCACCCAGATCGGCTTGGTGGAATGCAACGATGGCCACGGGACCTGCATGCCGACACTCCAGGGCTGACTTAGCGGCTACACCAAAGCCCTGCAAAAATAGTTGAATTTAAACCATAGATGCATTTTAAATGAAAGTATAAAACAATAAGTTATGTATATTGGAATGCACAGACCCTGTCAGTATTTTTACATACCAGTGGGACGTCTTTGCTGTTGCATATGATGACGCCAGCATTGCGCGGTGTTCCGTCAGTAATGCGCGCCAGGTCTGACTTCATGACGTGGTTGGCATAGAGGAAATGTTGTTCTGATGACTCTTTGATCCACACTTTGCTCTGCAAAACAAAAATCAATGAGTACAAAAAGTCATCATTTTTAAACAGTTAATTTACAATTTTTAAATTTTCTCATATCTTTTTTCAATATTAATAGAATAACAAATTTAAACAAAGATTTTGATAGAAATGGAAACAATATCATTATTAAACTAGGAACTGAGTTGATGGTAATAGAATTATCAATAGTTTTATTTGATGAAAATTTGAATGGTATCAAAGAAATTATGAATATTTGAGTTAAAGGGGGATAAGTATTTACATGAAGTGTAAATGTTTCTGACATACTTGAAGCGTGCAAAAGATAGTCATGTAGGTATTAAAATTATCAGAGCCAAATATAAGAACTTTTAGTTCACTATATTTTCTAGCAATATTTTCAAATGGAAAAAACATGAAATTATCTTGCTACAACATAATACATAACAAAATAGAGCACACATACCTGTGCATAGGGGGCTAAATAATCTAGAGCTGTGATATGAAGGAAAAACAACTTCTTAGTCTTGGTGAACTTGCCAAATATGACACCAAAAGATACCAGCATGTCTTTCGGCATTGTTGCTGCAAGTTTCATGTGTTTTTCTGATACATAGAAGACTCTGTTGTTGTGTATGCGGAAACAGTAGTTGCCATCTGGTCGCTTGATGAGCAGCTTGACTCGCTCACCAATGCTACAAGCAAGAAAAAGAGATAAAAGTATATTACCACAGCAGCTAGCATCTAAATATAATATAGCTAGAGATATAACAAACATAAAAGAGACATCATCTTTTTAACCAATAACCAATTGTACAGTTGCAGTAGAAAATATTACAGAGCAATAGAAATTATATTCATTTTTTTCAACTTACTATTTCATTATCTTCTTGAACATCACTTTAGTTTCTGTGTCTGACAAGGGTCTCATTGTGGATTGTGATATAAATTGGTTAATTGTGTGCACCTGTAAATTCAATTTGACGAAGATCTGAAATTTGATAAATATTAGTACAGGTGTACCTACCAACAAGACATGGCAAAAGCCAACCCTCAGACGATGGCAGTAACCAGGTAAATTTAACCAAGATGAAGAATAACCATGATAAATTTTAATATCCTCAGATGCCTAATACAAGAGCATGCACCCTGCTTTGGCAAGAGTGCAAGTGCAGAAGATTCAGTCCTTGCAGCCAACTATTGATCATGCAATGACAACATTACATCCCAGTATGCAGATAGTGAGCCAAGATCTTTGATCTAAAGATTTTTTACACCACAACATCAGCAAAATTTATAGTTTTCAGAAGATCTTGCCAACAGATTTATCTTTAGAGACCTCTTCACATGTATTTATTGAGAGAATAATCTTGAATAATCTTATTGAGAGAACCTATTAGAATAATCTGATAGGTAGATTTGGCAGCAGTTCCTTATTAATACTTGCACCATTTTGCTCTAAAAACCATATCTTGCCCACACAATTGCCAACCCTGCAGAGTTTTTTTTTCACTTCAAATGCAATGTTTTTATCAACCATGTTGCTCAATTAGTCATTTTCAAAACATGAGTGGCCAAATTTATTAGTAAAGTGTGTCAGTTAAGTGTGAGGGATAAGCATAATAAGACAACATTACATTCAAAATAAAATTGGATAGTTCATGTATCATGTTTTTTTTTTTTTGATTTGCTTACCAAGATACAAATAGGTATATACAGGGAAAAAGCAAATATCTGAACAAATTAGTAACAAAATATATATCTTCAGAAGATCTTACCAAACATTTTTCATTATATACCTGCTTTCCTTTTCATTGAAGAATGTATTTTTGGCTAGAAAAGTCTAAGGTTAAGATAAAAATTCTTATTGATACTGGAAACACTATGGGCTGGAAAACCTGATCTTGGTGACAATGGCTTAATTGACAAACTCTGCCTAGTAGTGCATATGTATTATGTGGCTATACACATGTTAATTACAGAGATGAAATTAGAAATTGATATAGGATGCACTATTGGAAATTTCTTTTAACTTATAATAGTATGGCCCCAAAATGACAAAATTTTCATCAAAGTGTTATAGCAAGGTGGCACCAAAGTGACATTGTTGGCAGGGGTGGTTTAGACTACTTTGCAGCGCACCCTCTGGTGTGTGTACCTCTTGTCTCTCTTAAATGTGTTACTGTATATATGTTTTTCTTTTGCAGTATTTGACTATTTTATTAATTCAACAAATACAGCAATCCCTTGATTAGCACGGTTTTGAATACCGCGGTTTTGATTAACGCGGAAAAAAATTTGCAACCCACCCTTAATCTATGTGGTGCCAGTTTTGATTAGCGCGACTTTTTTTTTCACAATGCATCATTTTCCCACCTCCAGCCAGAGGTGTTACGTTCATAACAAAAGTGTTACTTTTTGCTTATTAGATCTTATGTTGTTACTTTTGTTACAACTTTTGGAAAAATTTGCCAAATGTTGTTACTTTATGAATTTCAGCCAATAATTCTTTAAATAAGGTCCCGTTCCGTAGGCACTCGTGCTGACTACAGAGTCGGTTTAGCCGCGCCTTGTCTCGTTCATAACTCGAATGGTCGAGTTCGGCAACGTTCGCCGGTAAGTGCGCCATGCCGGCGCTCTAGTTACTTGTTAGCCTTCAACTGGTCAAGATCGCTGCCATATCTACTGCTCATTTTTATCAAACTACATAATTTTCCTTGATAAATTACCGTCATAATTATGGACAAAAAGGGAAGAAATCTAAATCTAAGGAGAGAAAGAAATCTAATACTACTGTGCAATTGAAATTGAATTCGTTTTTCAGTAAAAAATAAATGTTAATTCATTTGCATTTCTTTTATTTATTTCCCCTATTATTTAGAAAAAAATTATGATGAATTTTAGTGAAAAAAAAATTATTATGTAACTTTGCTACTTTTGAGGATTCATTATAATTATTCCCATATATTCTTAAGTTTAATTGGTGCGGTTTTGCTTAACACGGTAAAACTTGGGGATTTATTAACCGCATTAATCAAGGGATTGCTGTACCATTCTTTTCAGTTCAGCAATTGACCAGTAAGTGCTGATCTAAATTGATGTCAAAAGCTATTTTGGTCACAAGCTATTTTGAAGTGAGGCTGTTAAGCAAAGGGATCAGATGTCCTGTGAAGAATTGATGTCCCACACTCCCTAACCTCAGTAATTTGCTTGAGAGCTTCCTATAAACCTTCTAGCTAAGTACATAGCAGATGCATTTTTTACTGGCTTTTTATTTTGTTGGCATTTTAATCATTGGTCTGTGTGCATTTTACTTGGCTTCATCTTTAGTTCAATTTCAGAACTTGACCATTTTTATACATTTTCCTTTATTCTGTCATCTGTCTGTCACACCATTACTGTATGAGATCCCATTAGTTATTAGAACTGGTACATGCATTTCATTTTTATTTTTAACTTTATTCATCAGTTTATGGTCAGAATTGGCATTTGGCAAGAGGCTGGGCGGTTAAGCACACAGAATTGGAGCAGTTAGTTGCGTCTCTGAGACTGCAACTAGTTGTGAATGTTCTGCAGCAGCAATGTTCAGAATCAGTGACAGGCAAAGGCCTAGCCAGTGTGGAATTCTAGAGGGATATTAAATTAACCAGTACATATAGCATATTGGAAAGCAGGACCTGAAAGGTTGGAAAGTCCAGGAACTTTCCACTTCCAGTTCATTTTATTATATACATTATACATATCTTATCACTTTTCAACTGTGATTGGTTTATGGGATTGTGATTTTAGCCCCTTCCAGCTTTCCAGCTGTGATTGGTTGATGGGGATGCTTTCCAGCTGTGATTGGTTGTGCCCATAAGCCCCGCCCCCAAATATGGTATATGTACTACAGTACTGGTTAACTAAATACTTAACTTAAACTTGATCATTACAAACAAAAAGCCTGGAAAAATTTCAAAAAATCCATTAAATAAAATAAAAATAGAGAATATCTATCAAACAAGAGACATTCAAACCATTTTATATCTGAGGTACTATACAATTGAAACAGTTTGTCCAATTTTGATCCTCCTTTTCATTTATAGTCAGTCACCTGGCAGAGCACTGTAGCCAAGGAAAGCATTCCACCTTGGGTGGAAAGCTTTTTTATAAGTGAACCTCCATTTCTACAATTTCAGCATCCAGACTGTAGAGCATGGCACAACATAGGTCGAGGACGCCGATTTCATGCACCAAAGACGCCAAGGTGGATGCCACTGGACACCGGTCGCCAATTATGCTTCTCCATAAATCGCGATTTACGATCGATATGGCCGATGCGCCGTATTGATCTACACGCTACGATTGTAACTATGTGTTGTAGCATGTAGTTCCGATGGCTGTGAGAGCTACATTTGAGTACCCAAGCACACGAGCTCATTGCCACCTGAACTACGCAATGTAGCGCGCAGTTCCGGCGCCTGTGAGAGCTACATTTGAGCACTATCGCGTTAGAACACAATAGATCGCGTTAGAACGCTATAGATCGCGGTAGAACGCAATAGATCACGTTAGAACACAATAAGTCATGTTAGAACACAATAGATCATGTTAGAACACAATAGATCATGTTAGAACACAATAGATCATGTTAGAACACAATAGATCATGTTAGAACACAATAGATCACGTTAGAATACAATAGATTGACAAGTTTTTTCAGCAGTAGCATTGGGCTTGCCAGACGTATGCACATTGTGATCGGGTGACAGATACCAGCAATCAAACAAGCTGAAGATGGGCGCGGTGACAGCGGGGCTGATCATGCAATCTATAGTTTATGGTCGGTCATGGCTGCCTGAGCCATAGTTTATGATCGGCCATGGACGCCAATTTAAGGTCGATGTGGCTGATGGAGAGCTTGAAAAGACGCCGATATCTCGAGCTAAAAGGCCCTACTCTACAGCCTGGTTCAGCATTTATTAGGCTGTAGGCCTGGCCTACAGCCTAATAAATGCTGAAACTGCTATATTATCCAGAAAACATATATCATGTTGCTGAACAAAACTGGCATAAAATAATATACCATTACCACCACAACTGGAGCATCTCCATCATTTTTGAAGTCCAGTTTCCTAAGATTCCTAATAGATGAATAAGCAATAACTCTTAGGTATTTTATTGTTAACTCAGGTCAGTCAGGTGCAAAATTGAACTGAAAGATTCCAAAAATATTGAACATTTGTCATTTTAGAAGTTAACATCTACAAGATTTCTGTAAAAATTAGTAAAAAGAAGGGAAATTCTAATTTCCAATCCTGCACCAGAGCATCTGTGCATGTACACCATATAACTATAAGTTATAGGCTTATGCTAGAAGTAGAATGGACAATAATTAAATAATTCCTATATCTATAAGCTATAACATATAATAAATAGTGATTAGTGGCAACTGACATTGTCTATTCTCAGTCTGTACCTATCAAAGTTAATAATACTCAAAATATATTTTATACACTATAGATTTCCAATAATCTTCAAATATACTCAGAAATCCAGTAGCAAAAATATACACTTAAGGAACCACTCAGCCATCACCATAGCTAGGCTACCTACTTGTTAAAAGTTGTTTAAAGTACACAAACTGACAAAACACACTCAACACAGACAGTTACACAGTCGCACGACGCACAGCAGCACTGTCATCACAGAGAGCAGTAGGCTAACTAGGCTACGCATTAATCTTGATCTTCTCACTCAGTCACTCTCAGACGAATATTGATGATGAATTCTTTGAGGCGCCGAAAATTTCCTCAAACAAGCGTTCTTCTTCCTTTGTTCACTTACTGAACTTCTGAGGAGTTGATTCGCCCGCCACACGTCGACCGTCCACCACTCGCGCACGGCCAACAGCAAACACGGCTCATCAGCCTCTGCCTCATCAGTTATCAAGCAGAGCAAACACATGTCCGAAGTTTCGGAACATTATTGGTACCGCACGTGCTTTCTGCAAATGATTCTTAAAAGGTGGAATGATCGATTTCAACGTTGATTGTTGGAAATAATAGAGATATTTTCATATCAATAATATCGGAGTACAGCCGCGAACGATATGATACGTATGGGTTAGCTTAAGTTTGATTAGATCAGGTTAATAGAATAGAGGCTAATTGTAATAACGATATATTAATCACCAAACAGGAATTAATTTAACATATATTTCAACCCAACATAACATGACCTAACCTAACCTTATCGATTTTGAATTTTATTTTAGCTGGAAACGGAATAGGATAAATTTTGATTATGGTCTTGGAAGTAAGTTGATATTTACGGTCAATATTTTTAATTTTATAAAAGCATTTTATGATTGACTGAGTTGTGCGTGTGTTTATTGTGTATAATTTGCTTTCAGTGAAAGAAAAACTAAGCAGACTGTATAATTATAAAGTTGTTGTTGTTAATTATAAAGTTATAAAGTTGTTGCAGCACATCAATATTTATAAAGTATATTGTACAATTTTTCGGATTGTCTCATAATTGACGAAATTACATTGCGTTGAATGCGTAGAATGTGCGTTTGATTACGCTGTCGAGTCCGTCTTTAGGTCTCCCGATATATGTAGCTGAATAAAGTTTATCATATTTGCATAAATAAAAACTATGTAAAGACACTTTTTCATCATTTTCACAATTAGAGCGCTAAACGTGTTTCAATGTTTGGCATAAATTTTTATTCCTGAAGTTTGGGAAAAATACGAGCATTTTTGTGCATATATTGAAAAAAATCGTTTAACCGCTCTAAGATCTCAAATGTCATTCGTAGCCTTTTTTATATCATCGTAGTCTTCACATGTTCAATTTCGCAATTTTGAGATGAATGAAGCGAACCTATTTCCAAGACCCTCATTCAAAACTTTTGAAAGCAAATTGTGTAACCTCGTTCAAAAACTGTCCTGAATGGCTGTTCAGGTTTCGCTCGGGCATTCAAAATTTTCTTCATTGCAAGCAGAGCTCGAACAAAATGCTGGCATGAATGCTTCCAGGCTCAAAGGGCAAGTCCTATGAAGAAAGATTAAAAATTATGAAGCTTCCAAGCCTCAGTTATCGACGTCTGCGTGGGGGCCTCATTGAAGCATATAAGTACAGCCAGGTACTCATGGTTTATACTAGGTCCCCTAAGGATTACTAGAATTTGAAACAAGAACAACACCAGGGGCCACGGCTATAAACTAAAAAAACTTCGCTGCAACTTCTCCACGCGGCAAAATTTCTTCTCGCTTCGAATCACCGACATGTGGAACAGCCTCCCCGATGACAGCGTCGGCGCTCCAAGTATGAACGCGTTCAAGAACCGACTAGATCAAGATATGGAAAAATATATGTTCAGATTTGAAATGCCTAGCACCATATCGAACCCGGTAGAAGTCATACGTAGCAGTCATGAAAAGATCCGGTCAAATGACACAATTTTAGATCTTTTGTGAACAAGTCACGAAAAGTTCAAGACTCGGCGACAGGCCACATCAGGCCTACACTTCAGCGCCGAGATCACTATGTTATGTTATGTTGTAAATAAGTTCTTGTTCAACATGATGAAGCCACACTAAGACTTAGATGCAATAATTTTTCTAGTTTATGTTTGGGATACATTTGAAATTGATTTTAGAGCCACTGTTTCTTACCCGCAAGCGACTACAGAACCTGTAACTCGATAAAAGGTACAATATCTGACACGAATATCACCCGTGCACGACACGAGAAGGCGTCTTTTGTAGCGTGACAGAACCTGTTACACTTGTTGTAGCACAAACATGCCTGCATGTGATACATTATAGCTTACTCACGCCTTTTATACCATTTTTTTTTGCAATTCAATCTGTCGAGTAAGACGAGAAGGGCGTTTCCATTTGTCTAAAATGCATAGAGGTAAAGCTTTCTTATTTAAGCTTCCTGTATGCACGTAGATATATTGTGTATAAAATGTATTGCCTTCATAATCATTTTTTCCTTATAAAATACATAATCATTTTTTCCTTATAAATTTTTTCCTTATAAGTGTACCGTTTGAAGACATCTGAAAAGTCATAAAACATATATATCTGTAACAATCATAAAATAACATAAAATATATCAATTGGAGAAACATTCCTGTGTATAGTTTAAAGGTCACTGATAAACGTTCTCTGGGGCTTTAAAACTTCTCAGATAAGATTTAAAAGATTAGTAGGATCTAATGCTTCATTTACCAAGATTGCAATCTTATCGGGTTTCCTCGTGCGTTTTTAATTATTACTAAAATTGAGATGCACCAACAAACATATTCTTTAGAGGTGATAACGTACCAGCACAACATCACATTGCACCGTCCAACAGACAGGTTGCTTCGATTTTTATGGTGCTATAATTAATAATATAATAATATAAAACTACCATGGGAATTCAGTATTTTCAATATCTGGAGCGCACGAATCTATGGCTCATGCATGGGAGTGGAAGGCTGCAGCAGTCGTGACGTTCTTTATTAATTGAGTGTCGCAGAATAGGAGAAGCAGCAATGGGGCAGGATGGGGCTGCCTTTAGACAGTTAGAGATTGAGCGTCAGCACTGAGAGGTGGCGGGTACCTCAGTTCCACTCTGGGCCTCGCTCGCAAGCCATGTCATGGCTTCTAGAGCTCACTCCGCTGTAAAACTCTTTTACGTTCAGTCATCATTGGAGTTGGAGAGATGTAAATGTTTAATGGTGCTGGATCCTGTGTTGAATGTCAGATACCCAATAAAACATTGTGAATTCACGTAACGTTCGATTAGAACGTAATAGACAAAAGATATAAAAAAAGTCGCAGTGAATGTCGGCACATATAAATCAGAGTGCAACCTAACACCACCTGCATTGTGCTGAGCGAACGCTTCCTCTGCTTCCCAATGGCCATTCGCGTCGTCGGAAATTTTAATTTAGAACTGTCAAACACAAATGGACGTTGACAGAAAATATCCGTCAGACGACCTGTCCTATATATATTATAAATGGTGGTGCCTTGTGTACTAGTGAGGTGTTTATAGTGTTTAGCTAGGACAAGGTTACGATGAATTAAATATTTGTGAAGGGGAAGTGTGCAGCATGGGGGGCGAAGACCCTGATCGTTGCAGGAAGGTGCTACGAGCCTTGGACGCTGCGGTCGCGCTCTTCTTTGTGTCGCCGCTCGTCGTCGCCTACTGGCGAGGATGTTGGCAATTGATGGACCAACTTTTGTTTCCGGAAAACGATCGCCTGTCCATATTCTCATCGATACTCATCGGGATTCTTCCCCATTTCATGTTTTGTGTTTTTCAAGATACTTTTCGTAACTTATGCGTGGCCAATATTGCCAACCCTGTTTTCCTTGTGGTCTCGAGATTGTACACGATTGTGTTTTGCTTTACGTGCGTTAATCACTGGCGAGGAATATGGTTTCTGTGGGACCACCTCACTGGGACGTCGTGGCAATCTGGTCTTCTTTCATTGGGACTTGGTTTCGGTCTCCTTATTATAGCAAATGCAGTTTGCAATATTCTTGCGCCGCCCTTCGTTTCGCTCGCAGACAAGTCAGAAGGCTTCTTCGACGTACCTACTCTCTTCAACCCAGAATCACAACCAAGAGTGAGTTTAGACGATGTTCCCTTACATATGCATGGAATTCGCACTCAATAAGAATACTAGAATAGATAGGATGAAAATTAATTGCATCAGAAAATAGATTAACTTGTGTGATTTTCATGTCATTTATTGATACACGGATGATCTCAAAGAAAGTCAAAGAGAGTCAAAGAGAGTCATAGTTTTTAATGCCATTATTACCGAATATCCAATTAATTTTGCATGAAAAGTTGTTAATACAATGTGTTATTGCTGGAAATGTAAAGTATAATCATGCATCCTTGGTTTCTTGCCAGAACGTGCACCTATTGCCAATGGTTATCTTAACCCTCTACCGCCGTATGTCACTCTCCGGGAACATACAACAAACTATACGTAAACCATTGAGTGTATCAAACTGAAGACGTTTGTACGTAGCAGAAAACATTTTAAAGTTATCGTACGTGGCTGCAACCATCAGTGCAAGTCATTTTGCACTCACTAGAACGTATCCTTTCGGAAAGTAGGCTTGTGACAATATTGCTCCGGTTACTCGTATCAGGCGGTAGAGGGTTAAGGCTGTATACTGTACAGTGTACAGTGATTGATAATGGTCGTCTTAACTAGGGCCGTACACCGATTGCCATTGGATGTCTTAAGGCCGTACACCGATTGCTAGTGGATGTCTTAAGGCCGTACACCGATTGCTAGTGGATGTCTTAAGGCCATACACCGTGCCCGACCACTTTCAATAATTGTTTGACTCCTATCAGTGGAAATTGAGGTCAAGGCAACTTGTAATATTCACTAAAATCAGATGGAAACTTTAGGTGTGGCCAGATAAAATTGGTCGGGTCAAAATAAACAATAGCAATCGATAATATGAATTTATTTTGTTAAGCTCACACGACATGCTCGAGGACGATGGTCCCGGTGAATTGGAAGACCAGGGTTGGTGATGAAGACGAGGTGCTTGGCTTGGGGGTGTAATCGTGGTTGCGTGGTGAGTGGAAACACTTGTAATGAAGTCGTCCAGACACGATATTTGGCGTTACAAAGATGACATCGTTGTGCAGACAGATACGGCGTCAGTACGCTGACAGAGACGCAGATAAGGCTGTACAGTGATTGCTAGTCGATGTCTTAAAGCCGTACACTGATTTCTAATGATTGTCTAAAGCTAGGCCGTGCACCGATTGCTAGTGGATGTTAAGGTATTACACCGATTGCTAGTGGATGTCTTAAGGCCGTACACCGATTGCTAGTGGATGTCTTAAGGCCGTACACCGATTGCTAGTGGATGTCTTAAGGCCGTACACCGATTGCTAGTGGATGTCTTAAGGCTGTACACTGATTGCTAGTTGATGTCTTAAGGCCGTACACCGATTGCTAGTGGATGTCTTAAGGCCGTACACCGATTGCTAGTGGATGTCTTAAGACCGTACACCGATTGCTGGTTGTTGTCTTAAGGCCGTACTCAGATTGGTGGCGGTGGTCTTGATCGGCCACATGCCGATTGTCAATCAGACACATTAGCAGTCTCGAGGCTGCTATGAGCTAAGCATTTATCACTGTCAGATATCATAAAATTATCGTTAGTGTCCAGAATACCGTCAGATAGTTGAGGCATTCCTCGCATAAAAACATGAGTTTGCGATGTTTAGTATTTGAGGTCTACGAACCTAGATGGCAATGCGCCCGTCGCAGCACCCTGGTTATTAAAAGAAAATTCCATCACAGTGTTAGTTGGAATTAATATAAATGCATTGTTGTCAAGTGTAGGTAATGAAAATCTTAACTATGTTTACGTTTGTAAAAATCTTGCATGAACAATGAGATGATTTTTCTGGCGTTTCAAAGAAGAGACAATGCACAACAAATACTTATATTTAATAAAAAAAAGCTCACGAAAATAAACACGAAGGTTAATTCGAAACATATCGATATGCTACTTACTTAAAATGTCTACGATGAGGCGCCACGTCAACTTACCTCAACAGTATTATGACTTCTAATCACGTATTCTGTCTTGCTCTGATACATGGCCTTCTCTACTGGCTCATATCAAGCTCTGCTCCAGCCTCGGCGTGTAAATGAATATAATCAATTTCCTGGTCTTATAAAATAGATATAACATATTGCGATGGGTATTCTTTGTAAGCTGACGTAATTTGAAATTCATATAAATTAATGTATTGCAGCACTCAGAAAAGCTATTGAAGAATACGACACTTTTACGTTCGTTTGAGTTGCATCAGTTTTCTAGTTATCCTCGATAAATCTGAAAAATTCTAGGTTTAACATATATGTAAATTATTGTAATGACTGTACTGTGTTGTGGTGCGGTTAGTTCAAGCGTGCCAAACTCGCAACCAGAACTCGGAGGCGTACCTGCAACCAGAGCTGGGCAGCGCTACTTTGAAATGTAGCGGCCGCTACCGCTATCGCTACAATTGCTTAAATGTAGCGCCGCTACCGTTACCACTACTGAAAATGTAGCGGCCGCTACATGTAGCGCGCTTCTGCCCACCTCTGGTAACAACTAACATGTTGACACTAGTAACAGGCTGAGGTTGACAACATTACACCGTAGTCTTTCGTACAGTTTTATTCTGTAATTTATATTATGTGTGTATCATGCTGGTTTTTAAATAATTTTAATACTATTAAGTAAAATCTAAAAGCTTTATCTATAAATGTAGCGGTAGCGCTGTGGCGGCAAAACCTCGATCGTATCGCTACTTAAATATGTAGCGGGCGCTACCGCTACCGCTACAATTGCTTAAATATAGCGCCGCTACCGCTACTGAAAATGCTGAAAATGTAGCGGCCGCTAGTAGTGGCCGCTACATGTAGCGCGCTACTGCCCACCTCTGCCTGTAACCTACACCTTGGTTGTGCAGAGAACCAGCGTATGGTTATGGCTGGTGGACTGCGTGTTCACGGTGGTGGTAGTGGACAGCTTGGTGGTGTTCGTATGGAGAGGAGGCTGGGTGCTGCTCGACGCTTTCCTTTACCCTGGCAAACCTGCCTTCTCAGCCATCGGCTCCTTGGTAACTTTCTTATTTTTTTAAGTTTTTTAATATTCTATTTTGCTGCTTATTTTCATGCACTGTTGTCATAGGCTCATTTAGTAAAGGATGTGAATTCATTCTCTCAAGTTGAGGAAATGAAACACTCAGCTGGAATTTTTTTATGAAAATTAGTAATGTAATCGCCACAAGTTTCTGACAAGATACCAACAAAACTTGAAGAATGACTATAAAAAATTTGTATAACATTTAGATTAGGAGCGATTAACTCATGAGTGCTCGATCAATGTCCTTGTATGTTGAGCACTATAAATATAAGCAAATAAATAGAATACAATGTATGTAAGATGGGGCTATAAAAAAATATATTCAGGACTATTGACGCCGCGCTCGGCCTCTACAGGAAGTTGAGCGCAGCAAACAGCGCGGCTCCTAGAGTTACTGGCAGTCCTATTGCTCCCTTCATACAACAATGACAGACACGTCAAACCTGTTGTCCCTGTTAACAATGTCGAGAACTATGGCAGTAAAACCATCCTGCTTCTATTTTGGCCTTGACATCGATTTGCACATAGAATAATATAAAAAACATCAGAGCATTTATTCAGGCAAGCTCGTTCAATTCGGCGTGGCTCGCTCTCTGCTCAATTCAATTCACGAATACCAGTAATGAATAATTGGTATCGATGAATAGTTAAAAGCAGTCATTTGGTGTGTTGTAATTAAAAACGCGATTCTTAATGCAGGAAATTCATCTTCACGAATACTATATGGAAATTTCAGTTTTCGACGTCGAAATAAGGCACCGGTGTCGGCCCATTTTAGAAGCTCGTGCATCGTTAGACAATCGAGATCGGGCAGGTTGACCAGCAAAGTTCCGACTATGGCTTATGATCAATGAGCAAGATCAAGCCTTATTTATTCTTTGAGACCAGAACTATTTAGTATTTCAGTCAATCTACTCTGTTATGCTTACCGTATGTTTACAGTTAAACATTCATAATCAGTCGTTGACATTCGTAGAATGCAGTCGGAGTGCATCCATGTGACGCGCGTGCAGTGCACGTTAGTTCGTAACGCTGTAATGAGGAACTGTTTGCCAGTGCAAAAAACGGTTCGCTGTAATATTGAAAATCAAAATCATGAATTTTGAACTTTTTGACTACAATGGTAGAATTTTAAGTCAATGGAAATCAACCTCTTTATTGCAGTATAATTATTAATTTTGTTATGTGGTTCCCATTATTCATTTGAAAATGTTTCCGTCGTTATTGACAAAATGAAGCGTTTGAGTATTTGTCTGTAAGGAGCTATTTTTTTGGTACGTCTACATACGAGAAAAATAAGTCAAAATAAAATATTGAGCAATAGTTTGAATACCAAGCAAATTACTGATCATTGCTTCGAATAAACAGAAGCCGAGTTACTCAAATCAATTCAACTAATTTGTTCTTGTTCAACGCCTCTCTGTGCGGAGTTGACTTGTATTGATTGATGTAGGTGGTAGTTCAAGCAAAATGTATTATACAGTAATTTTATAAAGTATACGTTTTATTTTGCAAGTATATAAACGTGCAAAACCGTCACCTGCTTGATAATGAAAATTGTATTTTCGAAACGTCACAATCTATTAAAATGTCATTCGGAAACCTGCTTTTCGATCTCCCGGCTCCAGCTAGAAATTTGGTTCGACTCATTGAAAAGACGAACAAGAAGATTGTTAATAAAAAGCATGCTCTGGTCTTCAATCAAACTTGCATAAAAGTAATTTTATCGTAAACAAATTAATGATAATTACTTTTAAGAAACATTTCTGTTTATGTTTTTATTTTAACTAGGTTGCATGAAATATTCAACACCCGATGATCGTTATTCTGTTAAGATGATACAACTGATTTCAGAATCGCGTAATTATTTATTACCAAAATTCAGAGTCAGAGTAGTGTAATAATTATTATGGGCCGATTACTAAATAATACTAAAATGGGCCGATTATAGTAGTGTCTAAATACTCTGTTTAAGGATATTCATGATACTGTTATTGGTTTGAACCGCAATTATTTTAAATCCCTGCTAGAATTATCAGTTCTAAATTCGATCTTCATATTTGCTGGTAAATTTTACAAACAGATTGACGGTTTGGGCATGGGCCTTCCCCTCGGCCCAACCTTTGCGAATATTTTTATGTGTTTTCACGAGGTTTCATGGCTGACCAATTGTCCTTCTGATTTTAAGCCAATTTTTTATAACAGATACGTCGATGACACCTTCCTTATTTTCAAGCATCCTTCTCATGTTTTTATTAACTCCAAACTAATTTTCTGCATTTATCTGTGTTCTAGATTTATCGAACTGACGATGGAGCTGGTCTCCGAAACGTTTTCAAAAGAGATATGCTAAATTTTTGTGGTGTTTTCTTCGCTTTTAAATTTCTAGTGAATCTGCGATTAAAGCAATCTAGTGACTTTTTTACTAGTGTAATAATTTATTTATTATTTATAAGTCAGAAATAATTTTTTATTTCAAAGTCAGAGAAGGCCGGTACAAATTTTTTTTCAAATTTAATTGATATTTTCCATTTTATTCAAGTGCCATAAGAAAATTCTCCTGCACATATTTAGTATAGCAGCATTTGTATGGGAAAAAAATTATTTTAGCACCTAAAATTTTCTTTTTATCGTTCAGCCGCGCGCACTGCGCAGAGTTCACCATACCATTTCCATCACCTTCCCAGATATTTAATAAGACAACACAATTCAGTTTCAGACGGTCAATCTTCCATCGCAATGTTCCCATTTTTTCATATCGTTACAAAAAATCTAAATATTAATATTTTAATACCTTTATAAGCATCACCAAGTCAACCCAATAAAAATAAACAAGTTCCTCATGTTTTTTGGTACAGACAATAGGAGCGTTGGCTTCCGTGGCAGCATTCCTGACGCAGGCGCTGCTGGCGAAGGTGCTGCTGCCCCTCAAGAAAAAGTGGCTTAAGGTCGCCATTGAGATCTTCTTTTACGCCTTCTGCTTCTTCGCTGCCGTGAACGTGTGGCGCGGCGTCTGGAAGTCATTAGATCATTTTCTATTGCCTGGTAAGAGTTTCAATTGTTGCTTTAAAACGAGAGTAAATTCCCATTCACCGCTCGAAGTTAGACTTAATAGCTTACGATGAAGATATCGTGAATGCCTTACTAATAGTTTCTAGACGTGAATATTTATTGCGTCGTACATTTACTGACTTACCTCCAAAAAAATTATAATGGAAATAACTTTCTCTATTATTTCCATGTAACAAGTAAATAGGAAACTAGAAAGAACAAATTTGAATACAAAACTTATAAGCGCAAGCCGAAAGTATGCACAGTCCCTATATAGCTGATATAGTTCTTCTAGAACCCCGTAAATTAATGTAAAATATTCATCAAATAGAAAGTTCAACGTATGTAAGCTCAAAAATTAATGAGTGTAAATATACTGAAATACAATCAATTCAACCCGATCAGACAACAGATACTTGAGCAACTGGATCACGGCCGCGGCAGGGCAGGTGGTCCTGCTGCTGTGCTGCTGCTCCAACTCCATCCTGGTGCGCGGTGCCGTGCCAGACGTGCGTGAGACCGGCAAGCCCGGCGTAGTCTTCGCCATGTCCTACATAACCCACTTGTGTCGGGTGAGGTAACATGTCCTACATGACCCACTTGTGTCGGGTGAGGTAACCATGCCCTACATGACTCACTTGTGTCGGGTGAGGTAACCATGTCCTACATGACCCATTACTCACCAGCGCACATGATCACCTGCTTGTGTGTGGTAAAAAATAAAGTCTTGTATTGCTCACTTGTAGTGGCGCGTCAATTAGTGTTTCCTCCGCATCCTGAGCGAACAAAGGTGCTCCAACGGGAAATGAAAATAACATAAACATAGACTTTTAAAAATATTGTAGCAAAAATTGTTGATTAACTGTTTTTGTAAAGAAATAGTGTTCTGAAGTGCACGCTTCAGAGCGAGCAGTGCGGAAAAGATCATTTATAATTAGATTGAACTCAATTCACATCACACTCTTGCCGCAAGAAAAGAAGTTTTACAAGTCAAAATGGGCAAGATTCACAGGCGTTGAAATGTTAATTTCCTCAGTATTTTTTGGGGCCAAATACTAATACTGAAATATGTTGCAGGGTTGTTACAAAAAAGACTCTTTGCCGGAGGACCTTTGGCAGCCAACAGTACCTGATGGAAGCGGTCCCGTCAGAACTACAAGTCGGAAATGTAACGGCGGGTTGAAGCCGGAACTGCTTAATGCGTGCGACGGAACGTCCGCAGGATACGTCTCTGTATCTACGACAGATGTCCATCCAGGAGCTACACAAGTGATCGCCAACACACATGACTCGTCTTCTCGATTACACAGCAAGAGAGAAGCTTATTCTTTAGAAGCCTTACAAAGCGCTCAGCTCTTGGCATAAGAAAGAAAGCGCCCCACTCTTTAGCTTTTCCCAGGCAAGAGAGAAGCGTCAACTTTCAACTCCTCAGCTGGATCCCAGTTGTCGACATAGTATTGTAGAGCGCTGGTCAAACCCTGAAGACTAGGAAGGATTAACCCCGGCATAGGAACCGCACTCGAGTACATATAAAGAAAAATATAACTCAGTACTCACTGCAGTGAGTGAAAGAGAGCGCATTTTCTCGTCGACGAAAACTTGAGGTCACAGACGGACGGACAGACAGACAGATGGACATGGCGAGCACAATAGTGCATTTTTTCCATAAATGAGAAAATGCGCTAAAAACTCGAGCAAAACCAGCGGACAACTGCCACATGGCTGCCTCGGAGGACAAGGCCATGCTTTTCAAGTTTTGTTGAGAATTCAACAAGACTTAGCTTTTGTTTATACCTTTAGAACTAGAATATTCATTTCATAAATGAATGCGAGCATAGACTCATCATTGTGTTCATGTTGCGAACTTAACTTGTGATGATAAGGGGTTTGCAATGGCTATGATGTTAATGAAATGTTTTTATGTTGCCGAGTTTTGGAACTCCAGTCCACAATCACAATCTTTGTTGCTAAGAAAATTTGCCCATGAAACTTAATAGATGGTGTGAAAGTTTACTGACGAATTCGTTGTTTTATTTAAAAAAAATCAAATATAGCAACTTTCATATTTAGTATTATTCGGATTTTACCAGCAGCACTGCCCAATGAGAGCATGCTTAAAAAAATATTTTGTTTTTTTTTAAATATATGTGAACTAGATTCTACGAAGCGAGTGTTCCTTATTTAAGTAATATTTAAGTTTAACAAATGCTAATTAGTGAGTAAATAACTAACAGTATAACTGCATTGTTATATCCTTAGATTTTCCAGCACATCTTGCTTTGTATAAATGGCCTCAGCATTCATAAATTCGAATAAAATATTATTGTTTAGTCAAGTCTTGTCATTACTCCAACAAGAGGCTTTACTGTTCACCGAGTTTCACGAGGAAGTAGAGGGCATGTTTCGCAGGTTCTTGATTTTTATTCAAACTTTCATCATCAACGTCCTATATTTTTTAAGAACATAAATGTCTTAGCCTGTTCTGTAAAAAATAAAAATGATATGGAGATTATGAGAAAAAAGTCAGCCTGAATATCATTCATATTTTTTCAAGGAAGCTGATCAAATAATGGAGTTATCTGTACTCCACTTGGCCTCCTCAGGAGCAAGAAAAAATGCAGAATTAGTACAATTATAATTTTTTTCACTCGTTAACAAATGGTTAAAGCTAAGTCTAGGACTAACTTTGATATAGTAATAAGAATAAATAAATAACATAGTAACATAACATAATAACATGACATAATAACATATTTGAGGAGCCATCTTGAGCAGCAGGTTAGTTATCCGCATTCCTCCATTTAATTGTCATCCTATTGTTAGACATCGATGACTGAAATATTATGTTCATAGCAGAATATTGCCGCTCACAACTAACACTTGCATCAACACTAGGCAATCAAGGACCTTACAAATGTAAGATGAGGCACAATTGCTAACTTCTGTACTACAGTAGACCTAAATAATTGAAAAAGTCTATAGGGAAATAAATCACGGAATGGCACGTGCCTGAGTTTGGCTGAAGGTTTCTTCGTCCTCAAACGAACTAGAAAATTGGCTGATGATCTGAACCAAATACAAATTGGCGGACCAAATACAAATGATGCTTCAGTACAAGCAGTAGGGATTTGGTTTTTAGTTTGAACAGAACGAGATTTTTGAGCTTATAGTTGGGCCTTTTCACCTTCTCTGCAAGTTGATAGCACAGAACAATTGTTTTAGAGTTTGATATTAGAATCAATGTAAAAGTATTCCATGAACAGAAAGTTAGAAGAGTAAGTGAGCTCAAAGATAAATAAAATGTATAAAAAATTTTTTAAATACCACGTTTTTCATGTGGACTCAAAAGTAGAAAATAATTTTTCGGCAGCTACTGATCTCTGTTTGCTTTCATTCTCTTGGTCTTTTGTATTTCAGTTAAAATATTTTACAACATCTAAAACGAAAAACGTGGGGGCGCATATGTATTTAATTGTTTGGTGATTACTTGATATGATGAATATGATGGTTCATTGAACATTTGATAAGAGTATTGCTGATATAATTAGAAATAGTGGTTGAATTCAAAATTGAAATTAAGGCATGCCTAAATGAAGATGCGCCCCACGTTTTTCGTTTTAGATGTAAAATATTTTAACTGAAATACAAAAGACCAAGAGAATGAAAGCAAACAGAGATCAGCAGCTGCCGAAAAATTATTTTCTACTTTTGAGTCCACATGAAAAACGTGGTCTTTAAAAATTTTTCTTATACATTTTATTTTCTACTTTTTAGTTTTTTAAGTATTTTATTTTCTCATTTTTAGTCCGTTGCTACACATGAAACACGTTGTTGCGAGCCAATTTACTTGACTTGATGTACGTATCGATGATACGAAGCGTATCATCGATATACGCAGTCTAAACATTTGTGAGTTCCTTTAGAGTTTATACGCCTGGAAACGTGCAACAAATTATTGATTATTGTATTGTTATCGGGAGCTGAGCTTCCCTAAAAGTTTCAGAGCGCTAGCTAATGGGAAAGTTGGTGAAATATCGATTGCAAGATTTGATCATCACAGACACGAAAGCGAGCTAAGAAAAACGTGGTAATAATAAGTGTAACTGTACCGAAATACAACCAATAAGGAGTACACAGCACTCAACAATGTTCGGTATATTTACACTGAAGTTTTCTCTACGTGAGCAAAGCGATACATCGCTACAGTTAGCAAGCAGTTCTTCTTCCATCTCCTACAATTCCTGCAACGCAGAAATGTTGTTTATCGAGTCTCTGCAGCAGCAGCAGGAGGGCATAGCTGCAGGAGCTGCTGGTTCTTGGCAAGGTGGTGTAGAAGGCTCTGCGCAGTGCGTGTGTAGAGGCGCGCTGTCTCCTGCAGGCCGTGCAGAAGCGTCTTCTCCTTCTGCTGGTCGCTCTCCACAACCGCTCGCTCGTGCATCACCTGTCCAACGAAAGAATATTCATTCCACACCTAATACAGACGAATTGTTTACTTGATTTCTATTTTGCTTTATGATACTTCTGACAAAACTAAAGCACTTCCACGGTCTAACAATACTTTCATCATCACTGCCATTTCATCATTGATCAATAATTTCATCACCTCTGTGCTATCACCGGCATAATTCATCATGATCTATAATTTTACAATAGCTGAACTAAGTAGACCATAACATTTGGACTTTGGAGGATGACCACTACTGCAGCAGAGAGTTCTTAAGTTCTGCACCAGTACGGGCATGGCATGAAATAGCTCACAGTAGAAAGCAGGGCTAAACTTCTTCTAAGCGGTGGTTTGTTTTGTTACCAATTAGTAAAAAGATCCATCACAGACTCATTACAGTTTCATTATAGATTCACTGAAAGAATTGTCACCGGTTTATTCAAAGTTTCATCAGCAATTCCGTTAAAATATTTATCACCGATTTGATAAAAGGCGACTCGGATTCTTCCTAACATTTACCGAAGATACAAATCACAGCTTCAATAAAAGTTAACTGAAAATTGAACAATAATTCACGACAAGATTCATCACTCATTCCCCAATTAGCTGAGACCCGACGCAGATGCCAACTTACCTCAGCTTTGGTCTCCAGCAGGCGCTGCAGGTCCTGGTCAGCTCGCTGCACCACCGTGCTTCTCAACTCAGCGCTGCCCTGGGTTCTGCTCAAACGGTACCACACGTCAATAATTCTCATTCTTGCTGAGATGCAGCGGCAGTGATGAAACAAAATCGTCAACTGGGACCGCGCTTGCCTTCAATTAATTACCACGTTTTTCTTAGCTCGCTTTCGTGTCCGTCTGTCTGTCTGTCTGTTTGTGATGATCAAATCTTGCAATCGATATTTCACCAACTTTCCCGCTAGCTAGCGCTCTGAAACTTTTTGGGAAACTCAGCTCCCGATGACAATACAATAATCAATAATTTGTTGCACGTTTCCAGGCGTATTTATTCAATGAAATGTCGACCGAGTTCTTTATTACAGCCACGCACCCAGATAAATACGGGAACAACAATGTATCCCCTCGAATTCAATTTTCTACAGAACTTCGAAAAGAATTTTCTTTCGTGCATTTGCGTGGCCAACTGAAATAAAATGAATATTATGTAGGATGGCTGACCTTTGTGCAGTAGTTATAAACTCTAAAGGAACTCACAAGCAGGGGTTGGGAACCTTTAATGCACGTCATCCTCGAGGATATTCGTGTTTAGACTGCGTATGTCGATGATACGCTGCGTATCATCGATACGTACGTCAAGTCAAGTAAATTGGCTCGCAACAACGTTTTTCATGTGTAGCAACGGACTAAAAAGGAGAAAATAAAATACTTAAAAAAAACTTTTTAAAAACCACGTTTTTCTTGTGGACTAAACAGTAGAAAATAAATTATGGCTCGCCCCAAAAAACGTGGGTCGGGCTGTACGTTCACCATAAAATTTCCAAAATTCGTGTGTTGTGTGCTTTTAGCTTTAATCACAAATCTGCCCGACACACGTTTTTTGGGGCGAGCCATAATGTATTTTCTACTTTTTAGTCCACAAGAACAACGTGGTTTTTTAAAAAGTTTTTTTTAAGTATTTTATTTAGACAATGGGTTGCTTACCGCGTATGAGAATTAATAATACGGTAAATTATCTCTGATGTTCAATTCGTCATATAAAAACGAGGCAATAATGTTCATGTGCAGGTATTTTCTATGCAGTGACATTCACAATTATACACCCACAAATCGGATTTCCTTTAAATACCAATTATTCAAAATTTGAATAACAATGAGCGACAATCAGACCATAGCGACTACGGTAGCCAGCGTAGGCAATAAGAATAGCTCTGACGGAGGTACCATTAGCCCCCGGTAGGTGCAGGGGCATAACTCACTGGTGGAGGCTGTCGGCGACGCCGTTGAGGAGCTGCAGGTGGCGGAGCAGCACGCGGCTCGAGCGCTGCAGCGTGTCCAGCAGCGAGCCAAACTTGCGCGTCTCGCCTTCACTCGCCGCCACTGCAAACACAGGAGCTTTGCTTCGTGGAACTCGGGGGTGCAGCTTACACTTTACAGGCTCACTGAGCTCCCCACCACTCACTGAGATCCCCACCACTCACTGAGATCCCCACCACTCACTGAGTCACTCACTGAGCCCTCCACCACTCATTGAGCCCCCAGCACTCACTGAGCCCTCCACCACTCACTGAGCCCACAGCACTCATTGAGCCCCAGCACTCACTGAGCCCCTCACTCACTGAGGTGCGTGAGCTCGGCCAGCCTGTGCCTGTACTGCGCTAGTTCGGCCCTGCCAGGCACGTCGTCCCACGCGTACTGGAGCCTAAACAGACGCTGCCTGGCGGCGGCTGCGGCGGCCCTGGCGCGACCGTGGCGCAGACGCTCCTGCTCGACGCGCTGCCGTGCCGCCATGAGCTTCTCTGACGGAGTGGCGGTGCTCGCTGCCTCCTGCAGGGAACTGCCACAAAACCCTCTTAGTTAACTAACCTGCATATGAATGGTTTGCTGAAAATATCTGAGAGGCAAAGGAAAATAATGTATATTATAAATGACGGAATAAATTTTATAAAAATTCTGCACAGCTTCATAAAGAAGGAAGTCTTAGAAGGTAAAGTCTAAGTGGCAAATTTGCAATATTCATGGTAATCAATAATGGGAGATGAAATTCGGACCAATATTTACTGCTGGAACAAATAACAAAAGAATATATGGAATTCATGGCTGACAAGTAAGCGTCAAGCAGTTTGCCCAAAGAAGACGGTGAGGAACTCACGCCAGTTCCTGCTCTAGCGCCGCGGCCTGCTGCTGCTGTTGCTTCTTGAGTTTGTGACGCGACTTCTTGAGAGCCTCAGCCTCCTCCACGAGTCTCTTCAGCTCCTGCACGCTCTCCCTGGCGGACCAAGTGATAACCACACGATCAAGCTATGGATATCTTGCCTCATTGAAGTTACATACCGTGTCACTAAGGTTAGAATAGTAACTGCAGAAAAATAACTAAAGTAAGTGAATGCCAGCAATTAAAAAATAAAATAAAAGCAAAAAAATGTGAAAACATTATGACATTTGTATCAAAAGCAGTAATGATAAAATGGTCGCTTTACTTTTGGTGTGATGATTCGATGTTGTTGAGGTGTGCCCTAGCAGCGTCGAGAGCGTCTGAAGCCTCCTTGATGTGGCCACTGAGTTGTGACCGTCGCTCCTGCACCTCCTGAGCCTGCAGCTCCAGTGCTCCAAGTCGCGCCTCCAACGCCACCACACGCCGCTCTAGACCTCCTTTGTCCTGTGGGCAGTGATGTGTCAGACCCCTTCTGCCCTGTAGCAGTTATGCCATCCCAAATTCTTTCACGTTTAATGTAATAAGAGCTACATATCAAGAGGCGCTAGAGAGTTAAATTTTATTCAGTCATCTGTCCCAAATCTAAAATTAGAACTAAGAACTGTTTATGCTATAAGTACTTCCACTTTGAAGCGACGTTCTTGGTTACTCATTCTTACTGAAAAACTCACGCGCAGAATGGCCGATGATAAAAGATGTGCACCGCGAGCATCACAGGAGCGACCATCATTGATACCAGAGGGGTGCTGCACGTCAGGTTGTTCACGGTCAGCACCCATGCCTACAGTAGCGTTTACACGTCACTTTCCGTGACGTCATTGTAGTAAGCGTCTATATAAGCTCTTCAAGCTTACTACCAGTCACAGATCAATCCTCAATACCTCTTAAACTGCAGTCTAACCTTAAAGGCTTCCACCACGTCTATCGGCTCCGTACTCGCTCGTCTTACTCGCGGTCGTCTAGACTACTATAATAATACGTACCTCATACTGCATCTTCATGTAAACCTAAACCTTTATTTAAGAATATTATAGTATTGCCAATCTATAATTCTCCTGCTATAGTATATGGACATAATAAGAACATATTGGACCATAGAGATAATATTATAGTTCACCTAAATATAGATTATATTTAGAGATATAGACTAAAACATTAGTCAACGAATGTCACAGAAAAGACTTCGCTGAAAATTAACCCCCAAGCCCATCCAAACACTGAAAAACTCACGCGCAGTATCGCTGATGACAAAAGAGGGGCGCCGTGAGCAGCAGCGGCCAGTAGCGGCGCTGAGGCGGCAACCTGCACAAGCAACAGTGTTGTCACCACGCGCTCAGCTGACGTCATGCCTAACAACATCATGCAATAAAGTATTATCAAGAAAACAAACACTGAACTTTTTGATGGCATAGACCAGATCAGGTCTCTCATTAGCTCGTAACAGGCAAATAAATAGCTTCATTAAAGCAGTATTGCTGCATCTTCAGACTTCATGCATGAAACTAGCCTAATGAAAGCCACGTTCCTCATTAAACTAGCGCAAACCCCTTCAACTATCAACGGAAATTCACTAGTGATAGGACGTACTAAATATGTTTGGTTCATCACAGCCTGGCACTGACCACCAGTATGGGTTGATTGGTGTTGGTATGATGGGCCGGAGGCTGGGGGCTGTACTCAAGCATGGTGTTGTAGGCTGCCTCCTCCTGCTGCTGCTCGGGCGTGGCGCCGCTACTGGGGTCTGTGCTCAACCGCCACCGACGAACACAGCTGTGTGCGCACTGAACACCGAGCAAGACATCACTACCAGAATTGTGTTTGGGACAATTGTGGGATATTTCTTTATTTTATCAATGATCAATTTAATTTAATTTCTTACCAGTGGGACATTTGCTCAAGATTGTGTACTAAAATACTTCATTGTTCTATCAATTGTAATAGTTGTTAAAAAAGAGTCACAACTATACCGAGCAGTTTCTAATGGAAGATACTGATAAACTGAGGTCATTCACCAAGAGGTTGAATGAGCTTCTTCATTCATACATTTGCAAGTTCATAGCCTGCAGTTAACTGGCAAATAAGGGCCTACAAACAAGTGATAAAATTCATATTTATTGAATGGTTGAGAATGTAATATTCAGCTTGTGAAAGTTTCTAATTATCAAACTGAAGAAAATCTTGATCAATCAACAACTTGAATTGCTAATGGATGCAAACAATTGCTAATGGATGCAAACAACAAAACTAATTCTTATGGCAAAAAACTGCATTAAGCATCTTAGCATCAAAAATGTGTGGAAGAATTAAATTACACTAACAAAATCAATCAAGAGAATAAGTGAAGGTGGATCAAGAAATAAAGCTTGCAAATTAACTGAACTCATAATAATACATAATGACCTAAATGATGTACCTATAAACTGTACAGTATGATATGAAATATTACTTTTCTCCTCTCAAGTGGAGATCTAGCCAAGGTTCTCAATCTGGTGCAATAATTGCCAACAAGAATTGAAATTTTACACTTCCATACTGTGCTAACGTGTTATAATTTACTTTCACTTTAGAAATTATTACTTCTATGTCATGAGAAGTAAAGAAAAATTATCATAATAATAAACAAAAAGGCAAAAAATTTAAGAAGAATAAACTAATAACCAACTACCCAAAGAGACAAGCAACTAAGATATAGAAACAACAGTGCCCCCCTGCAGCAATGCAATTGCCCTCACATGGACTTCACTCATGAGTCTGATTAGCTGTGGTGAAGGTTCAGTGTAAGCAGCAGCAGCAGCAGCAGGAGGAGGAGATAGCCTTGAAGGCGCGTGTATGGCAGCCACTTTTTGGGCCAGTGAGCTGTGCTGAGCCCTGTTGGCCAGAGCTGCTCTCACCAACCACTGATAAAACAATAAGTCTTAACTTGATGTTTTTTTTTTCAACACATGGAGATTATATTTACTTCAGACTACAAAATTTCTTCAGCACAACTTGATAAATGTATCATAATTCCAACAATATTATTTAAAAATCAAATGATGATTTTTCCTTGAGATAAAAAAAATTTAGCTGATATCAAGCATGCAACATGTTGGTTTGTGAGGTTGTGGCATTACCTGAATGACGGGCAGAAGATGTGCAGCGTCAAGTCCTTGTATCTGGTGAGGCTGCAGGAGGTGTGGACATTGCAGCACCAGCAGCACTGACACAAGGTGCTCTGTCAGGCCTCTGTGGAGAGAGTATTTCTTGGGCAGGCAAATATTGACATATTTAAATGTACTTGACATAGCCATGAAGAAAGCTTATTATTTTTACAACATTGTCTGGCTCTTGACTAAATGGTTAATAGCAAAATTAGGAATAATTGAGTGGAAAATGTAGAATGCCTTTAACAGAATAGCCCTGAGTGTGAAGTGATAATGATAGGTGTCATTAAAATGAAGCACTGATCATATATGACACTGAAGATTGGGTTAGTTGTTATCCTTGCAATATTTTTCATTGATGCAGCACAAATTTTTACTTAGTGGAGAACATTTTTCAATGCATAAAATTGGATTATTGAAAGCTCTAAATATATCTTGCAGTTTTGAAGAGTCATTTGAGCTTGGTGAGTAAATTGTCACTTTACTATTCAACACAAAATTTATAATTAATTAGAATCATTTTAACATAATTATTTTTATTTCATTTAACCAAATATACCATTCATAAATGCAAAATAGACAAAATTTACTTATCTATATATAAATTCTATTCTCAAGGCTACTGGTAGTAGCTGGATGGGTAGTCAGCATGGACAATATCATGTGACACATCATGTGATCAAGACTCCAGTAATGGGTGGGAGTAGAAGTCTATAAAAGGACTGCCTACCTTATTAGAGCTCCAGTAGCTATCAAGCAACCCATCATGTAACTTTGCATTAGAGCTACTCTGATCTGACCGTCAAAATCTTTGCCTATACCTGTTTGAACTACTAATATAACTCCCAAGGATCCACCCTGTATCAATAGTTTTCAAGACAGATTACTTATCCTTCACGAACTTAGTTAATGAATCCCTGTCCTTGAGTAGGTAGAATTAATATTATTAGCAAGGTGGCGCTTAATACTGCCGCCTGACATTTGAGTGAACTCGACAATCTTGGAAGGTGGGAAGCAATAACTTACATTTTCTGGCCTATAGTCAGGCTGTCATTGTACATCAGGTCCAAGTCCAGATCAATACAGCAATTCTCAACACACCAGGTCATTCCTCCCACAATCTGCACAACAAGCATTGCCAAATTTTGACATCCAGTATTATATATTTTCATTCAAAAGGCATAATTATTGGTTTCTACACAAAACATTTAACAAGATGTCTTGTTACTGAATTCAGGAAGCTAGTGTTCAATATCTTCTTGTAAAATACACATATAATTGTTTTTTATGCTGAGAAAATAATTATGTCAGTTCATGCTTTAAATTTTTGTCATGTTTTATTTAATTCATCCTACATCAATCTTATAATTCTAGAAAAATGAGTATCATTGCAATTCCCACAGAATAGCATTAATCTTCTAATGACTATGTGCCATAATAGACAAATGTTTACCCTCAATTTCTGCCTCAACAATGCTATGGATATATACATACATTTAACTGATCTTTGGCAAGCAGTTAACACAGGGCCCTGCTTGTTGGTGGGCAGCTTACTATAGGGTGATCTTCATTCTTACTGCCCTACCTTTAACATCTTCAATATTATTATTATTGACATCATGTCAAGAATTCTTTGCTATATCCTTATTTTTTTGGCACTATACAGAACCTGCTACATACTAGATGATAGCAACCCTATGTTTGTTGCCTCAATTTTTGATGGCTTGCTCACTCTGGTCAATATGTACAAGGTCTAGGGCACCTCTTGATTCTTGAACTACGTACTGCCAAGACCTAATAGATAATATCCTCATCACTAATAATAATGGCAGAATTCAACAAGTTAAATAAATGAACCAGTGAAAGTAATAGATTTTGCTGGGAATATGTTCTTGTTGACTGATGACAAGTTATTGACCATTAAGAAAAGAATTAATTGGTGGCCATTTGTCTTTGAAACAGCCAAGATATACTGAGAAACTGGATGGAATTAGGTAATTAGAAGCAGACTTGTGAAATTAAAAAAAATGTATGATTTGACTTTTAAAAATCTATAGGTATATTATTCATATTAGACCTCATCATTAACAAATAAAATTGATTTCCTCCAATTTTGAATTTTCTTGCACAAGGATGTGAATAATTCTTTTGAAATTAACTGCACCTAGAACTCCTTTGTCATTTTCCTGCTTGCCTCATTTACCCATCATTGACATTTTACAAATTTCAATTATGCCAAAACTTTAATCAGTCTCTGAATAAAAAGTGTTAAATCAAGATCAAGATAAGGAAGCCATTCATGAATAATTTTTTCATTCATGTTATTAAACAATTTTTCCATGAACAGGATTATTGCAGTTGCATGGAAAGGATTACCTTATCAAATGGTGGGAGTCCAGCTACACCAGCTCGGAAATAGCCTGCAGACACCAGCAACTTCAGACATTGTTCAATCATCTGATGCTGCTCCTCATCCTTAATGTCTGTATAGCTTGGCTTCATTGCAATTTTGTTCAATAAATTCTAAATAGAGATTAGAAATAATAATCACCTGTGCAAGAGATGGATAAGAATGCAGTTAATAAAACAGTGACTTCAAAATATTGTGTCTATATAAGAAATTGAAATAAACTCTCTGAATAACAATTTTTAACCAAGCTTAGTCAAATAATTTGTATCAAATCAATTCCAATGCATCCATTTACAGTGGCATTGACAATAACTTTGCACCATGTACTTGATAGTTGATACCCTGGTACAGTACTATGATAGTAGTAGCAACCTGCCTTGTCTGCTTGTGGCAAGGCCAAAGTAAAACCAATTTTCAGAAAATCAACCATGATAACAAGCTTTTTACAAATGGTTTTCATAAATTATGGTAAAAATTATTTGCTGTAACAAGACTAAATACACCAGGAAAAGTTTTCTCCCAGGGGCCAGGACCATGAAAAACTTATCCATCACCACTTCCTCAGCTAGTTGCCAGTTGCCACTACCATGCAAGGCAATTAAAGCAACACCTACTAGTGGCTTTGCCAATTTTCCAGTCAGACCTGTCACCTTTGTTTCCATCAATTCAAGCAGGCAATGTAAGTTGTTGGATCAATGTTCAAATAGTGAACTTGGTGATGTTGAAACGATATTGATTAATAGTCCGCAGTAAAAAGCAAATCAAAGATATTTTTCATCATGGTACATTTTTTGATGTTTTAACAGTGAAATCACATGAATACCAAGACATTCAGCATGATGATTCATGATACTGATGATAGTACATGTATATCTGCTAAAACCTTTTATAAATGCTTTTCTAATATCAGTATTTACAATTTACATACGGTACCTATTCAAATAATATTGAAACATCAAAATGTACATTGTACAACATTGAAAAATGATGTCAATTCACTTTTCAGTCTGGACCAACATTCAACATTATTATTTCCATGTCGCAAAGTTTGTTATTTTGATGATGATTTAACCTGAAATTGCCTGCAGACATGTGCAGGTGATGGCCAAGTCCAGTTGACAGTAGGTATAAAAATATCAAATGCAAAATTTTTACAAAGAGCAAACTTCATGCCATTTCAAAGGATTTTTGCCACCAACATTGAAAACAACCGTCGCTCTGATTATAAAATCAGATGCCTCCTATGGCTGGAGGCTGGAGCTAGGTACTACTCACCGTACTAGCTTCTTTGCACTTATATATTTTCCTTATAGAAATCTGCTTTATTGGTCTATGATTATGAAATCATATTCAAATTTTTTGTGGTTAACACAGAGCAAGAGTGAAGAACATTTTGTTGAGATTAGCTAGCCTTGTCTCTTTTTAACTTAGAAAACTCGTGTGTAACTGTGAATGCCATTTGCAAATGTAAATCCAAAGCTTGCTTTGTGCCAAAAGCTAAAAACTACAAAAAATGTAGGCCTAACCTTAGTCTAAGCCTTAGTAGGTAACCTATTTAGGTATGCCAGGGTCCAGTGATACAGGTGCTCTATTTTAACAATTACAATGGATTATTCAGTTGACTTAATTACAATGGATTATTTAGATTCAGTTGACAGTTATTATTAGCTGTTAATCTATATTATCTATCTCACTTTTAATACTCCTGACACCTGAGTCCTGACACTGTGACACACCAGTGCGGTGCCTGACAGGCTAATGAGGCTATAACTGTAATGAATTCTTGTCCTTCATCTGGTTCGTTACACAGGTGCATCAAACATCAGCCACCAAAACTAATTTATTGAACAAGAACAATAATGAAACTGTATTGCTAGAAACAATGAAGTAACCCAACAAGCTGAGTGCCCACTGCCCAGTCCAATAGTTCACAATGGATGACAGAGGTTGTTGCACGTCGGACGTCCCTAGTCCGGAAGCACGCGATGATCCTTCCAAACAATTTTTTTTCATTTGCTTTGAAGGCTACGGATATGCTGGTAGTACACCTCCCAGGCTAGGAAGGTGAAACTAATATAACTGTGTAAAAATAACTGTAAGCAAACTGAAACATGAAAAAATACCTGCAAGTGGTAACTGGTAACAACTTAACATTGAACAAACAAAAAACTTAATATTTACGATTCATAGTTTTTTTCGTATTAATATTCATTGTTACTGTTAAGTTAACAACTAACATGTTGACACTAGTATGTCTAGTAACAGGCTGAGGTTGACAGCATTACACCGAAATCTTTCGTACAGTTTTATTCTGTAATTTACATTATGTATGTATGTAATTCATGCTGGTTTTTAAATAATATTTAAGACTATTAAGTAAAATCTAAAGGCTTTATCTATAAATGTAGCGGTAGCGCTGTAGCGGCAAAACCTCGTATCGCTACTTAAATATGTAGCGGGCGCTACCGCTATCGCTACATTGCCTTGAATGTAGCGCCGCAACATGTAGCGCGCTAATGCCCACCTCTGACCTCTGCCTACTCACTTAAGCACTTGCATACCAGATTCTATATATAATCACTTTTTAATCAATTTACATGAAACAGAAATAGCTAATTTATTGTTAGGGTACACTACATTTGGTCTATTATAATAGCAGCTCACCAATAAACGCAGTGTAGGCTACGTTGACTTAAAGCACAGCAGAAGAGTAGCGCAATACTAAACTAGGCCTAGAAATGGGTCGCTCACGGCAGAACTGCCTCTTAACGACTGACCTAACGCACGGTATAGTCTCTCGGAAGAACTATTTCCTTTCGGTGTCTTCTGATATGTAACTAACGTGTAACGTATAAGGTATAACTTATATATATAATTACTTATATGAGAAGTTTGAGTCACCTATATCAAGTCATTCAATTTCAAGTGGTCATATATTAATAAAATAAATAAGGTGTAGTAGATTATAATTAAAATTATTCGATAAGTAATTATTAGAAAGATCCAGTCTGAATAACTAGAATGATTAAATTTAATTGAAGTAATTCACTAAGCGGACTCCACTGAGCCCACTGGGTGCTAATGTTTTGCTTTTTTTATACTGCATGATAACCCTATTGTTCGTAACACCGGTTTCAGAGTACAGTAGGCCGCAGGTCTGTCGCCGATTCTTAACATCGCAGAACATTAACAGTATTTTGCGGTGACGCGGTCTCGAACAAGCAACTGACTGCTACAATTATGCTGTGCTTAACCGCCCGGCCTCCTCGCCGATTCTGACCAGAATCTGTCGCACAGAGCTGGGATCGAACCCGTGCCTCTCTGCGCCAAGCATGGTGCTCAAACTGTAACCACTGGACCACCATGCCCCCTGTCTTGCTCAGCTTCGCACAATCGTTGCAGATGATATCCCGGAAACGATCCAGGCCACTGCAGCGTCATCAACGTTAACCAAAACAAACTTGTAAAATTTACCAATTTCGCCTCATTGATTTTGTGATTTGATATTCGCATTTGGTTTACTAGGACTAGAGGCCTTTCCGATAAACTTTTTCCTCTCTTTTTTTTGCCATCATGAAATGGAGGAGCTAAAAAAACACTAGTTAAGAACTGAGTCAGGTTGAGTAAAAATTGTACGAACTTCCAAAGTGCTGTAAAAACTCGGTTACCTATTCGAGAGTGAGCGGCTTTCAGAAATTCGGTGGGGTCAGCGGGAGTAAAGCGTTCAGGGTAGAGGCAGGCAGAGCTTCAACAAGAAGCAAAGACTGTGCTGTCCTGCGTTGGTGAGAAACACACACGTTTCCCTCACTCGCTGCACCAAGCTTCACTCACTGACTTTGAAGCCCACGTTATTCAATTGAAAATATATTTTTACTATGCACTTGTTCTTTCTATTCGCACTCTCATTTACTGACTTCACTGAAATTCGGTCGTTCACTGACACGGACCATAAAAACTAAATGCGAAAAGAGCTCCGAACAGCACAGTAAAAGTTAAAAATTTGGGACCACAAACACGTGCGTCCACCCGCGATCACGGCTCGAACTGAGAAGGTAAGGTCATAAGCAGGATAGTAACAAACGTACTGAGGAGGTTAGGTCAAAAGTTGAATAGTAATACAGGTATTGAGGAGGTTAGCTCAAAAACAGGATAGTAATTCAGGTACTGAGGAGGTTAGGTCAAAAGCTGGATAGTAATATAGGTACTGAGGAGGTTAGGTCAAAAGCTGGATAGTAATACAGGTACTGAGGAGGTTAGGTCAAAAGCTGGATAGTAATACAGGTACTGAGGAGGTTGGGTCAAAAGCAGAGCTGCCTGCTTATGAACGAGCATACTTAGCACTGATTGTATACTTATTAATAATAGCGGTTTCAGCGTTTATTAGGCCGTAGGCCTGTCGCCGATTCTTAACATCGCAGAACATTCGCAGCATTTTGAGGTCTCGAACTCGCAACGCACTGCTAAATTCTGCTTTGCTTAACCGCCCGGCCTCCTTGCCGATTCTGACCAGAAACTGTCGCACAGAGCTAGCTGGGATCGAACCCGCGCCTCTCTGCGCCAATCTTGGTACTCTGAACTTTAACCACTGGGCCACCCTGCCCTTAACCACTGGGCCACCCTGCCGTGGCCCAGTGGTTGCGCTAGTGGCTTCAAAAAGAGCACATCTGGTCTGGCATTCGGTATTCCAGCGTGGTCTGCGGCTTTTGTATCTGAAGTCAGAAGTTTTACTAACAATCTGTTGCTCAGAGTTGGCTTCAAGGCTAATTTAAAAGTTAAACTTATCAATTTATTGGCAAGTTCTACCTGCCACAATTCATCGAGGCTATTGGGTTCGTGTAGTGAAATACTGGCTGCTACTGGGCCAGTAGTGAGCGAGGCCAGTAAACATGAAATGTTTGAGTTTCGTGGCCTGTGAATGGCCCGTAGCAGTCATGTAGCGGCCAGTAGCAGGTGTGTAGCGACCAGTAGCAGTGGTGTAGCGGCCAGTAGCAGAAGTGTAGCGGCCGGTAGTCGTCATTTAGCGGCCAGTAGCAGTGGGTTAGCGGCCAGTAGCAGCCCTGTAGCATTCTTGTAGTGGCTAGTAACAGTGGTGTAGTGGCAAGTAGCAGCTTTGTAGCGGCCAGTAGCAGTGGTGTAGGT